CTGGGTCATGAAGATCTTTTTTGTACAGTTCTTCTGTGTATTCTTGCCACCTCTTCTTTATATCTTCTGCTTCCGTCAGGTCCATACCATTTCTGTCCTTTATTTTGCCCATATTTGCATGAAATATTCCCTTGGTATCTCTAATTTTCTCAAAGAGATCTCTAGTCTTTCCCAATCTATTGTTTTCCTCTATTTCTTTGCATTGATCACTGAGGAAGTCTTCCTTATCTCTCCTTGCTATTCTTTGGACTCTGCATTCAGATGGATATATCTTTCCTTTTCTCCTTTGCCTTTTGCTTCTCTTCTTTTCACAGCTGTCTGTAAGGCCTCCTCAGACAACCATTTTGCCTTTTTGCATTTCTTGTTCTTGGGGATGGTTTTGATCACCACCTCCTGTACAGTGTTACAAACCTCCATTTATAGTTCTTCAGGCACTCTCCACCAAATCAAATCCCCTGAATCTATTTGTCACTTCCACTGTATAATTGTAAGGGATTTGATTTAGGTCATACCTGAATGGTCTAGCTGGGTCTCCCTACTCTTTTCAGTTGAAGTCAGAATTTTGCAATAAGGAGTTCATGAACTGAGCCACAGTCATTTCCTGGTCTTGTTTTTGCTGACTGTATAGAGCTTCTCCATCTTCAGCTGCAAGGAATACAATCGATCTGATTTCGGTATTGACCATCTGGTGCTATCTACATGTAAAGTCGTCTCTTGTGTTGTTGGAAGAGAGTGTTTGCTATGACCAGGGTGTTCTCTTGGCAAGACGGTCAGCCTTTGCCCTGCTTCATTTTGTACTCCAAGGCCAAACTTGCCTGATGAGCCAAACAGTATGAAAGATGGCTCCTCATGGCTGGTATGAAGTGATGGAATCTGGGCAGAGGAGGAACGCCCATCGGGGAGCAGCCAGCTGGGGTGAAGGGGGCGGTGGTGATATGGCAGGACAAGGAAGGCATCCGCACAGCAGGGGAGGGAACCTGGGGCCAAGCTCAGATCTGTTGAGGGGAGAAGTATGTCCCAGGGCAGGAGACAGTGGCAGTGTTAGACATAGGAGAGTGTTTGCCAATAGGTGGGTTGACTGAATAGGTAAATGCGTTGAGGGTAATGGGAGCCAGGTTTCCTACCATCAGAGACAGGAATTACAAATGAGAAGGGGAAGAAAACTAAACTGAACTCAGCAATGCTGGATCAAAATTGGAGACATTGATGTGAATTCATTGGTATTCAATGCATATGTAGAAACTTACGAAAGTATGGATGTCAGTCTCTGTATGTATGTATATATGTATTCATATACATATATTCCTTAGCTCTGTCCCCTGAGAGTGCCTGGGAGCAGTGATACTGCAATAGCACTGGGTATACACAGTATCCAGATCTTGGCTTCTATAGCCCCTTCTCTGCTAGGAGGAACGAGGGCTCCTTGAGAAAAGCCTACTTCAAGGGACTGTGCAGGGAACACACAAGGTGAGTAGAACCTGGTAAAACATCCAGGTTTTTTTGGCTTGGAAGGCTAAAGATACCAGAGGAGGTATGGAACAGCCTTCTCATACTGTTCATTGGGTTCTCAAGGCAAGAACACTGACATGGTCTGCCATTCCCTTCTTCAGTGGACCAGTACATTGGCCACCTGATACAAAGAACTGACTCACTGGAAAAGACCCTGACTCTGGGAAAGATTGAGGGCAGGAGGAGAAGGGGACAACAGAGGATGAGATGGTTGGATGGGATCACTGACCCAACAGACATGAGTCTGAGCAAGCTCTGGGAGCTGGTGATGGACAGGACAAGACTGGCGTGCTGCAGTCCATGGGGTTGCAAAGAGTCGGACGTGACTGAGTGATTGAACTGAACTGATGGAACAGCAGGGAAGCTCTGATTTCTGTTTTGAGTCAGCTGAGGTTTGTGTGCTGCTATGAGAGGCCCAGTTAAAATCTCCAGGGCTATTATTAATAGCGTCTGATAGTTTGGAGAGATGTCTGAGTTAGAACTGTCGATTTGGACTTCATCAGGATATGATAATAGTTGAAATGAGGGAATCGAATGAAACCACCCAGCGAGTGATTATAGAGTAAGAAGAGAGGAGGGTCAGGGATGGAGCCTGGTGACCCAAAGAGAGGGTGAGGACAGATCCAGGAAGGGAGACAGAGAAGAAACTACAGAGAGGCAGGGGGAGCGCCAGAGGGGAGAAAGCACGTCCAGGCAACGGTGTCATCTCCAGACCACAGCGTGCAGATGCAGCAGCATCTCATAACACACTCTGTATTGTGTCTGGGTGGGGTGGGTGTGAGAACTGTGTCATATCCTAATCCCTTTTGAGGGACTTGTCTAAAAGCTGCTGAATGGATCACCTTGTTTTCATTGTTTTCTAATAGAGCTGTTGATAGTGGTGATGACTGTGGTCACTCCCTTTTGCAGAAGAAATTAGTAGGATGAACAGAAACTGAAAATAAGTCATCCTTGTCTACTTGTATTGTTGTTCAGTGTTTGGCATTGAGTAGATGGTGCTTTAATAAATAAAAATATACCCACTAATGAGTAGTAACATTCTTTGAGAAACAAAGAGTCCATCCCTTGGAACTTTAAATAAAAATCTTTAGTACTAATCACATCGATTGCGGTAATCACTCTGGTGATATGAAGGCGATTGTTAGATGTCCCCAAAGTTAGGCGTGCTGCAGTCCATGGGGTTGCAAAGAGTCGGACGTGACTGAGTGATTGAACTGAACTGATGGAACAGCAGGGAAGCTCTGATTTCTGTTTTGAGTCAGCTGAGGTTTGTGTGCTGCTATGAGAGACC